ACTAACCGTCCATATGCGTTAATGTGACTGACCTCTCCGGGTGAGTTTTCAAGTGCCTGATGACATTTGACGTTGTTGCACCAGCATCCTTGATTTTAATATTGCAGACTTTGCAGTGTGCGCTCCTTTTGTTGGTGCCGCCGGCGTTTTGTTCGAAGTTTTTATAGTTGAACCTAATTACAAGCGGTACAGCTGCAGGTGTCCCGCCGGTCGCCATGGTGTTACCATGATGTTAATGTTAATGTTAAAGGTGGGGTAGGTAAGTTTGAGAAACCGGCTCGAGATACACTTTTTGTTATATTCCATGGAATGCTCTTAACATCCCGATAGCCGGCCCGGCTAAAGTAACTGGATGGCCTACCTGCCTGTCAGCCTTCCATCGGGGCACAAACTTATCTCGTGCCCTCATTGGTCATGTGCGCGTTCGTGTGTGTTGGAGGAGGGGCTCTGTGAGGAAGTGGCAGATTTTCTCCGGTTGTGTATTTTCAAATTCTAGCGATCTCGAGCCGGTTTCTCAAACTTACCTACCCCACCTTTAATACGCCAAAAATAGAAAACACAATGATTGTTCACGAGTCCCAAAACACGAGTCCAAGTCGAGTCCGAAGTCTTTTGAGCAGGAGTCCAAGTCAAGTCTGAAGTCTCTGTGTGTGCGACTTAAGTGCGACTCGAGTCCGAGTCACAGACTCGAGTCCCCATCTCTGCTGTAGTATATTCTTCTTATAGTATCGTGTATGTTTTTCGTCTATACCGTTAGCTTAGTGAAATTTCATCTCGTCAAAACATTGTCAAACTTAAAACAAGGCATGGTAGGTTTAGAAAGTTTCAATAAACAAGAAGGATATGAAAATGTTCACTCGTGAAAAGAAAATCTGTGTATACATTTTAGGACTTTTTGGGCAGCTGGCAGCCATTCCATGATATGAGAGCTGGGGACAAACTAAGCACACAAACCGAGCCATGGCTTCCTGACATCCTTCTTTACAATTGCCAACCTTTATGGTTAAGACAGTCAGTACATCAAATCTGAATTTTACAGAGCTACTTATGACAATATAAAAAAACATCCTGCAAAGTTAAGAGGTCACTGAACTTCAAGCAACCAATGGATTCAGTTCTGAAGGGTAATAGTCATCAAGAAATGAACTGTGTGGGGCTAATTATGAAGTTGCATAGCACTACGTTGAAACAAAGTTGTGCTAGAGCTTATAAGAAGCACACCTAGATGTTTTGTAATAAAGTGGAGCTGGTATTTCTGGATTTGAATCGCATTACATTGTTGACCTTTTGCCAGTGTTTTCTAACTATACTGAAGTGTCAGCGTTGCAGGGAAGAATTAATCAGGTAAATAAGGATATTGACTGGATAGAGAAACTTTGACGGATCAAACTCAGGTGTCTTCAAAGCCACAACTTACAATGTGTGTAGAGGAGATCACCTGAAAATGTCATGAGACCTACATTTAAAGGTTTAACATTAAAAAATAAAATTCTGATAGTTGTGACGCCTTTTCCTCAAAATGACACGGGGTGATCAATTGCATACTACACATATTCCAAAGCTGGTCATAGCATCAAAGCGCTTGTCGGATCATTGAAGAGTATGGCCGCTTTAGCCTTTATACATATTTGCACACCAAATATGAGGTCTTATAAAAGGCATACTCAGCCTTTAGTCAAGGTTTAGTAATGTCTTACATTAGTAATATACAAATAAACGTGTGCAAGGAATATGCTTATATTCCAGTAAAATACATACAACATGAAAAAAATGAAATCAACTAAAATAAATCAAAGCACTAATGCAACTAATTTTAAATGATAAAAGTAGTAAATTATTATTCATAGGTAACACATTTTCTCTTGCTCTTATATTTAATAGTTCAGTGACTCCTTTGAATAGTTGCAATCTAACCTAAAATACTTCTAATTGAGAACACTAACAAACCTGCAATACATAAAGGACTCATTTAAAAAGGGTATTGCATTTTCATGTACCAACTCCACCTATAGATCTCAACCCTCCAGTGCATATCCCCGTACATTCTTGGCTTTTAATTGGAAACTAAACTTCCTGATGGATAAGGTTCCTTTATTTCAAACCCCTGTGCTACAGCTTTTGCTGTATTAGCAACAGGTGAGTGAGAATGAGCCCCAGATCACACAGGCACTGTTTGCATGTGGATGAGTGGCAGGTTACTGAAGTGTGAGGCAGATGAAGGCCCTCCAGCTGGATGCTGTCACATGTGAGAGGACTGTTAGCATAGTGTGAATTCAAACACTAACAACGTGTAAATAAACAGCACATTGTGGAGGAGGATATTGCACTTTCATTTATTTTAATTAAATGCTTAAAAATGTTTACAGCATGTTGCTGTTCTGCAATAAAGAACATACTAAGTATTAGTTATGTTGAAATACATTTTTATGATAAACAGATATGTTTATAAAAAAAGTGTTAACGTAAGAGCTGTTCTTTTTGTATTTATCTTGTTAATCGATTACAAAAAAATGCGGGACATTTCATTTACAGAAGCATAGTGTTGATTGCGAACATCTCCCTGGACTTATATTAAAGCGTGGAGTTAACTCCATGCTGAAGTATGATTAGCAGAATAATTAAAAATAAGTATAATTAAAATATCCCACGTGGCAATACATTACCCAGAAACCATCATCCATGCATTCATCACTTCTAAACCGGACAACTGTAACAGCATCCTTTAAGCTGTCCCGAAATTGACACGCGATGGACAGACGATAAAGGAAATGTTCAAATTCGGCTCAGATCGTAACAACATCGGGCCATTCGTGAGGGCATCTTAAGCCATCGTATGACCGCCGGTGGAGTTTCTCAGGATCCGGCAGCAACTTCGGGAGCGGTGGCAACATCTTTGGCATGCCAAAAGATTGCCGAAGGACCTTGCGAAGGTTCATTTTCGTGTTGACTTCGAGTGTCCATTTTGCCCTTCGTAAGGCATTCGTGAGGGCATCGTAAGCCATCGTATGACCGCCGGTGGAATTTCTCAGGCTCCGGCAGCAACTTCGGGAGCTGTGGCAAAATCTTTGGCATGCCAAAGATTTAGCCGAAGGACCTTGCGAAGGTTCATTTTCGTGTTGACTTTGTGTGTCCATTTTGCCCTTCGTAAGGCCATCTTGAGGGCATCGTGTAGCCATCGTATGACATTGTTTGTGTCATGGTAACGTGGACATATAAAAGGCTAACTCCCAAAGCTTCAATCACAATTCATCACAATTTAGTTCCTGCAGAATGGCATAGGCTACTATGATGAGACAACAAGGAAAAAGAAGGCAGCAGCATTGCTTCTTTTGATGCACCTCAGAGAACATGATGAGCAACTCTTACAGGTCAAAATTGTCTTATTTCACATTGTCATTTCTTGCTTTTTGTGACCTGCTCAATCGAAATCAGTAGCAGTGATGACACCTGTATTAAACAGGTGAAACAGGAACATGAGGACACGGTGCACGATGTTTCCTTGCAGATCACTTCTCTGGTTGTTTTATTGCACAAAAAAATCATGTAATCAACCCAATTTGTGTTCTGTGAAACTGAAAAGGATATTATATTGTTTTTTTTACTTTCGTTGCAGTTGTATCATGCAACTGCCGCGGCGCCAGGATTTCAATTTTGGGTGGGCCAATGTAATTTCGGCTGGGCCTGCTCTAATAGATGTGTCTCGTTAACAAAAATAAAATAAAAATAAATGCCTGCATATTATTGTAGGCCGTGGCGACTAGTCCCCTCTCTAGTCCCCTCTCGAGTCCCCTCTCGAGTCTCCTCTCAAGTCCCTTCTCGAGTCACGTCTCAAGTCCCTACCCAATGTCCTGGTCCGTTGGAGGTTCCTCTGGGAGTCCTGCCAACTCCATGTCCTGTCCCGCTGGAGGCCCCGCCGACTACTCCTCTGCCGGGGGTCCTGCCAATCCAATGGCCGTGCCGTTGGAGGTTCCGCTGGAGGTTCCGCTAGAGGTCCTGCCAACCCTATGTCCTGTGTCGTTGGAGGTTCCGCTGGGGATCCTGTCAACTCTATGTCCTGTCCCGTTGGGGGTCCCGCCGACTACTCTTCTGCCGGGGGTCCTGCCAACCCTATGTCCTGTGCTGTTGGAGGTCCCGCCGACTACTCTCCTGCTGGGGGTCCTGCCAACCCTGTGTCCTGTCCCGTTGGGGGTCCCGCCGACGACTCTTCTGCCGGGGGTCCTGCCAACCCTATGTCCTGTGCCGTTGGAGGTTCCGCTGGGGTTCCTGCCAGCTCCATGTCCTGTCCCGTTGGGGGTCCCGTCGACTACTCTCCTGCCGGGGGTCCTGCCAACCCTGTGTCGTGTCCTGTCCCGTTGGGGGTCCCGCCGACGACTCTTCTGCCGGGGGTCCTGCCAACCCTATGTCCTGTGCCGTTGGAGGTCCCGCCGACTACTCTCCTGCCGCGGGTCCTGCCAACCCTATGTCCAGTCCCGTTGGGGGTCCCGCCGACTGCTCTCCTGCCGGGGGTCCTGCCAACTCCTGGTCCTCTTCCGTGGGGGATCCTGCCGAAGCCTGTCCCACCAGCTCCGGTTCCTGTTCGGCCGACACCGAGTCCTGCCCGGCCTCCGGAGCTGTTTGGCCTTCGCCCCACCTTGGACTCTGCCTTGTCCCCGGGCCGTCCGCCCGAGTCCCCCACCTTGGACTATGCCTTGCCCCCGGGCCCTCTGCCCGAGTCCCCCTTCTCGGCTTCTGCCTTGCCCCCGGGCCGTCCGCCCAAGACCCCTTCCTGGTGCTCTGCCGTGCCCCTGGGCTGTCAGCCCAAGACCCGTCCTCCAGACCCCCTCCACCCACCCTGGTGGCCCTAGTTTTCCTGGGATCTCCACACTGATGCCGGAGGTGGCTTCCTAGGCCACTGGCTGGGACCTGGCTGGAACTCTGCTGACGGTGAGGAGGCTGCTCTGCTGGCGGAGAAGTAGGTACTGCTGGAGAGGGCAGATGTGCAGACTGGGTTCACAGCAACTGGCCTCTGCTGCTGCGACTGTAATGCCGACGGGACATCTACGAAGGGACTGATCTGGTCACCAGCCGCTTCCCTCATCCTGAACTGTCTGGACATCTTCCGGTAACTGGAAAGACAAAAACAAACAACATAGGATTAATACAAGCTCAAATTTAGCATGCAATAAAATGTGTGACATCAAATAAATGAATTTTAAATGTATGCAATTTTATATGGTTAAGAACTGTGGTGATGTCCTCATACGCAGGTTCCAGGCAGGCATCATGCAGACGATCCAGTTCAGTTTCCAGATACTTGCAGAAAGGAGTGGCCCTGTTGACTGGCTGCTCTGTAGTGATGAACTGAACCAGCCTTTCTTGGAGATCACGGGATGATGCTCCGGTAACTCTCATCTCCATAGGAGACTCGGGTTGGTCCTCAGCAGCTGTTCCTGTCCTGGAAGGAGGTCTCGGTGTAGGGTAGCCAGTGTACTTCTTGGTGGGCTCCCTGGATTAGTTTGCAAAACTAACTGCCATGGTACTGTCACTCCCAGCCTACTCACCTTTCTCAGCCAGGGCCAACTTGTCCTTAAACTGCAAAGACAAAAATAGAAAACAAACATAAGTACATTTGAAAGTTATATTTGGAAACAAAAATGTGGGAAATTGAACATTTTCGACAAAGCTCCGTTTGAATTTAATTTCAATGATATACTCACACTAGCTGGTGTTTCCTTGTTGTGACGTCTGATGTGTGGCTTCAGAAACCCAAAGACCCGGCAGATGAACTTGTCACAGTCACTGTCATTCTCACTGGCCTCCTCAGCAAAGATGGGTCTTCCTCGTCACCACTCGACAGACCATCACCAGACCTCTTCTGGGATTTATTCTTGGGTTGGCCCTCCCACAGCTTTGAGATCAATCGAGTCCTCTTTGTTTGGTACCATTTCAGAATTGAATGATCTGCAATGACAGAAATCAAAACAAATAATTAGTACAATAATTGAAATGTTCATTGACAGCAATGTACAGTTGCAAGAAAAAGTATGTGAACCCTTTGGATTCTCCACACATAGCGTTGTGTGTTCCTTCCAAACAACTCAACTTTGGTTTCATCTGTCCACAGAATATTTTGCCAGTAGTGCTGTGGAACATCCAGGTGCTCTTTTGCAAACTTCAAACGTGCAGCAATGTTTTTTCTGGACAGCAGTGGCTTCCTCCGTGGTTCACATCTGGCAATGCTTCTTAAGAATAGCAAATTCAAAACTGGTGTGTATTTTTTATAGGGCAGGGCAGCTTTAACCAACACCTCCAATCTCGTCTCATTGATTGGACTCCAGGTTGGCTGACTCCTGACTCCAATTAGCTCTTGAATAAGTCTTTAGCCTAGGGGTTCACATATTTTTTCCACCCTGCACTGTGAATGTTTACATGGTGTGTTCAATAAAAACATGAAAACATATAATTGTTTGTATGGTATTAGTTTAAGCAGACTGTGTTTGTCTATTGTTGTGACTTAGATGAAGATCAGAAAACATTTTATGACCAATTTATGCAGAAATCCAGGTAATTCCAAAGGGTTCACATACTTTTTCTTGCAACTGTATGTCAAGTATCTGAAATAGATTTCAAATATTTGAAAGTAATTGAAATGTCCATTTGTTTCTACTTACAATCCAACCCGTACTCCGCAGCCTTTCCCTCCCATAGGTGCCTCTTTAATGCCTTCTCTTTGTACTGTTTGTTCTTTATGTCATACAGTAGCTTCTTACTCTTCACCCAGCAAGCGATTGCCTCCTCCTGCGCCTCTGTGAAGCTGTATGATACACCAGGGGGTGGGTTCTCCTTCTGGGCCTTGCCTTTTCCTTTGTCGCCCTTGCCCACTTTAGGCTTGGACTTGCCTGCAGGGAGGGCGGGGGAGGCTGACTCATCTGAAAAGATACCAAATGGAAAACAAATTAAGTACATGCAGGACAACAATGTATGAGAATATATAACAAAATCAATTACCCCTCTTGCCCCCCCATCCAGGGTTCGAGTTATGTTGGAGCCAATGGGAGCTGAGCTCCCATAAGGAGGGGTCTGAGCTCCCACGGACGCAGTGAAACCATACATCTGTGGGGGTTGCTAATACATTACCAACAACCATTATTTTAATCACAAATAATGCATGTGTCAATATAATGAGTATTATTTACGTTAACGAGGTAAATAGGCTAAAAGAAAAATATGTTTTCCAAAAGAACTACACATCTCTTGAATGACAATATGCCTGCACTTCACCTCCAAGGTGCGCAATACATTATTACGCAATCTATGCCGATGATGTGTGCGTGTGTAGTTGAACCTTTTCATATTTAAGTTTGTAGCAAGTAGAGAGAGGGCTGCTGCTGCTGCGTGTGTGTGTGGGTGCGCACACACACTCACACACAGTAGCAGACTCCCCATAGAGCGCAGTTTATAACTCGAAGCCTGCCCCCATCCATACCAAAAATAAGTTAGAAATATTTACCTTCATCCTCCGAGGAGAGAGTCTGTTACGATGAGAAGAAGGTGAATGCTGCTGAGACTCTTCGGACTGCTGAGGAGACCTGGAACCCTCTGGGGGCCGCTCTGGAGTTTTAGTTGGCCCGACTTTCTTGCATTTCCTCCCCTTTCTCTCTCTGGTTGGAGACTCAGTGCTGTGTTCTTGGACCTCGGTTTCCTATTCTGAGTGTATTTAACAGCCAGCTTCTTCCGTCTGCCTCTCCCTGCCTTGGGTGGCATGTTAACGTAGAATTAAAGTATAATTTACCTTGTGTTCTGCTCCCAATAATCTCCGATCAAGAATTTGATTTCCCACGCGGCCGAAGCTTTTATACCATCGGGAGGTCACGTGTCGCCTTCGTGTGTGGTTTGGGTGCCAACGTGTGGCCTTCTGTAGGCATTGTACTTGCTTCGGCTGTTGCTTCGGCTGTTGCTTGGCCGATGACCAAGTTCGGGGCCATCTTCGTGCGAAATTCACAATTCCATATTCGTGTGTCCATCGGGAGTCAATTTCGGGACAGTGTGACAGGGGCTTTATGGCTAATCATCCTACATCGTCAATAAACTTAAATTCATCCAGAACTCTGCTGCCCGCCTCCTGACCCACACCCTCTCCAGAGCAGTGGCGGTTCTAGAACATTTTACATGGGGGGGGCAAAGGGGAGGCAAGAGGTCATGCCAGGGTGGCATAGGAGGGCGGACAGTACGTGGTATGTTATACTGTATATAACCTATTTATTGTTAATTCATGCCCTAACACAAGTGTTCTTAATGCACAAGAGAAACAAGGTGTTCAGACAAACAATCGGGTGCCCTTTGAGTCCCCCAAGCTTACCTCAACCATTTTAAATGAAAGGGAACTACAAAATGTATTTTAAAGCAATGAATTAATGGAACAGGTTGTTTTGCATTACAATGTAAAATTAAATATATATTTTGTTTTTAAAAAATTGGTTGTCTTAGACAGACATATTTGCATGTCCTCACTAAGCATTATTACATATTAATTTAATATTAAACAAATCAAAATGGCCAATTATCCCAAAATGTTGCTGCTAATATAATCATATGCTTGTCAACTTTGACTGATCAAAAATCAATTCTGAAAAAATACTTGAATTATCTATGAAATTGCAATATTGTCCCTCAGTTTGTTTCAACCCCGTCACACCATACCATTTACCCTCCTATTAAAATAATGGATCAGTCCATGTGTGATCTGCATTGAGGGAATTACATCACAGAAGTGTCAGTTTCTTCTCTTACCTATATTTCAGTTTTTGTATTTTCAGATTAAGATTGACAAGCTCAACATTTCAACTATGTTGTATGAATTAATAATAGTAAATAATAGTTTATTACAAAAATAAACAATAGTTTTGCAAAATATTACAATGTTGTAATGTCCTTGACTTCCATGTGGTGCCATATCTTAGCTAAACAAGGTCTCATGCCTACTTTTTGTCAAAAACTTCAACCCTGTTACATTTTTTCAAGGAAATTCCTAGTAATTATTTATGTTTTGTGCCTGAGGTGGGAAAATGTAAGTAGTCCACTACCAGATGTTATGACCAAACATTTTGGTTTCATTTTTCAAAGATATAAAGACCCAAAAGGCACCCGATTCAGAGAATACTCAGAATTCTGCATACTGTAAGTACTTAATTATAATTAAGTACACAAATGACATCACCCATCTCTTCAGAGAGCTACAGGTGACCTGTGCAGCAACGCATTTCAATCAATATTTGTCAATACTAAGAGCTGCTAGATTGTGCTGCTGTAATGGAATATGTAAGGAGAATAAGAACATACCATGTGGTCCAGCTGGAGTTTCATCTGCCTCCTGATCCCTGCCTCTGGCCCTCTTTCTGATACTTCATCTTTATTCCTCACATATATTTCTTCTTCTTCACTAATGTCTTCATCTCCTCCTCTTCCTCCTGCTCTGACCCTCCTGGTCTCTTCATCTCCTCCTCTTCCTCCTGCTCTGACCCTCCTGGTCTCTTCATCTCTCTTTTCCTTTTCCTCTTTCTGTTCGTCCTGATCACTTCTCAGATATGTCTTTTTGTTGTTGTTGAATCACTCCTATACTCTGGCCTGCAAGAGTCTACTTGTGAAAAGCACTGGTACAAATGCTTGTATAACTGTACACGTTAGGGCCATGTAGCCTAGCTAATATGTAGCATATCATAAATATAACATCATAAAGTATTGATCAAGCGCACACAGGCAGCTGTGTTTGGATCCAGTTTTTACGGTAAAGAATGTATCCTGGTTTCATTGATCTGGCCTCATGGCTGTGATGTGTAGTTTACGTGGATTTAATAGTAGGCTACCGCGTAGTTTAGCAAAGTGATCGATCTCCCAGCTAACGCTGTCTGCGTAGTATTTTAGAACGTAACGCCCCAAACAGCGCCCGTCTGTTAAACGCTATCGATTCAAACGGCAGCGTTTTATTAATATTTAGTTTCAAGCTCTCGTCCTTAGTAAAAACAAAACTAGTGGAAAGGGAAATGCTCCCAGGGGAAGCTGATCCATAGGTGCTGGGACAGCTCGCTCCCTCTCTGCAGCGGTGTGAGCCGCGGTCTGTGTGAACGCCGCTCCGCAGTTTAATGCAGGGCCGTAGCTGCATTTTTAACGGGACTAAAATGATATTTAAAATGATTCAATTTTAACTAATGTAATGCTTGTTTTGTTGCTTGAGAATCTTGTGGAAATAGTGTAGGTTTGTTTTAGTACAGTTTTAGGGAAACAAAAGTTAGGGGGGCTAGCTGGGGGGGCAAGGCTCTACAGTGGGGGGGGCAGCTGCCCCCCCTTGCCCCCCCGTAGATCCGCCCCTGCTCCAGAGACAACATAACCCCCATCAACCCCAACGTCCAAAACCTGCACTGGCTCCCTGTCCATCAACAAATGCATTATAAAACTCTCCTCCAAACACACAAAGCACTCAACTACCAGGCCCCCCTCCTACCTCACAGACTTGCTCCCGCTGCCTTTGCTCATCAGAAGTTGACCTCCAGGTACTCAGTGTTAATTCCAACACTGACCAAGCACCAAACCTGCAGAGTTTTCTCCCCCCTCCCAAAACCCATCAGAGACTGCACAGACCTCCCAAAGTTCAAATCATTGGTAGCAACTCACCTTTTAGCCTGGCTTTTAATGTGTGATCAATGTCCTAGTGTTAAATGTTGTTGTGTAGGCTTGATTTTCTTTTTTTCTTTGTGCACTTGGAAAAGCCCTTGATAAACAAAATGTATTATTAGGATTATTGTTAAAATATGAGACACAAGAGCATACTATTTGGCAGAATTTATTTGACTACATCTCATGTAGCTTTCTTCATTTTTGTTCATAATGAAATCAGGGTGTTGATTACACTGGTTGGCGCTATAAACCCGTCAAAGTTTTTTAAAACCTTATA